TCCCCCCAGCCTCAAGGCCATTTTTTTTCTTTTTTTTTCTTACTTTTTTTCTTTTTCTTTTATTTTTTATCTCTTTTTTCTATCTTTTATTTTTGTTCTCTTTTCTTTTTCCTTTTTTTCTCTTTTCTCTTTTCTTTTCTTTTCTTTTCTTTTTTTTTTTTTTTTTCAGCAATTACAAACAGTTTTTTTTAAAATTCTTTTCAATTGTTTTTGACTTTATATTTTTTATGTTTTTAAAATAAAATGATAGTCACAATAAATCCCCCCCAAAAAAACTCAAACAAGATGCAAAAGGATTGTAATGAACCTTGCAGTCAAACTAAGTGAGGAAGAGAGGGGAGGTACCCGCGGTACCTGCCAAAAGTACCGCCGGTACCCGCCGGGAGGTGCCTGGTGCGGTACTTGGTACCTATTTTCTGAAAAAAATCAACAGGTACCTAGGTACCAACAGGTACCCGAGTACGAACGAACGATCTCTAGTATCTGCCATGTATCACTATGTATCTGAGCCCCAATAAAAAAAAACTATCTGACCAATCTGCTTTTATTTGCAAGGAGATTCAACAAATTTGGTTTTTGGCCATGCAGCTTTGCAGAATTCTCCATGATACACACAGTGTATCGTATCTGTGGCAGCGTTGATTGTACCAGCCGATCAGATTTCTACTTCGAATATGCCGTAAAACCACAGGCAAACAGCTCCCCACCTGAGTGCCCCGAGCTTCCACGCCAACATGCCGACTTGAGTCGTAAGTCCCTTCTTTCGCGCCTCCCTGGCTATACCAGGCCCTCAAATTGAGGGGCTTGACTCAAGTTAGATCTAAAGCCTCGTGGGGTACTGCCATGGGGGAGGTTGCGGCGTGCTTCGAAGCCAGATCCCTCTTTACGGCAAGAAGAGACTTGGCCATACAACAGCGATACCCTTCGGTGCGCAGTGCTAGCACATGGCTGGCTAGAGGCCAAAAAGAAGCAAATTTGACTCAAGCAGCGTGATAATCAATTTGCCAGTCTCGCATTTGGGAGTAGTATCCGAACGAAACCAACATCAAGATTATCCATATTTCATTGGGGATGCCCGTCATCGCTTATGTACTTATTTTCCATATCCGAAGCTATACTTAGTCTCATCTCGAACGAGAGAAATGTTATTCCAAACTGCAACGGTTAAAAATCGAGCAATCACTATTGATTCTCATCTCAAAGGGACATGATCATGGAATCAAGCTTAGGGTGAACTTCATGCTAAGAAAGCATCTTCTCAGACTCTACATTGTGCACATCTCTTGCCCTTCTGCAAACAAGAGACATCGATTCATGCCAATACACATGATTACATATTCTGTTGACATCCTCATCTATGGCGAGCACATGGATCATTCAAGATCAGAATGTAGTGAGAATGAAATGGGGTGGAACTTGACCACGCAAATTATAATTCTGATTATGTGGCTAGATACATAAATGCACCGGACTTCATGTTTTGATTAAGTGTAGAATTTATAAGAGCGAGAACAAGAGGATTCCTGCAGGGATCTCAACATCTCGAAGCTCTAACTGGCCGGAAACAGATATGTTTGAAAATACCGAAATAATAAATACCCAACTAATAGACATTTAGCCAATGTGCAGATGGAATCCTTGGCTTGATCGACTAAAGAGCCCCGTTGAACTCGGCTGACGTCCTGGCGAGAGCTTGACCATGCCCCATTCTGAGGTGCTGTGAAGGGAGTTGGAGTCGATGGAGCTCGATTTGTATTTTGATCCCGACTCCTGCTTGGCACCGCCTGGTCATAAGGCTCTCTAGATAAAGAGGTCTCAGGTTGGCGGGTGATTCGTCCATCCCGAGAGGTATCTGAAAACCCCGATTCAAATTGAGGAAAGTGATCATGGTTCCCCCCAAACGTAGAACCAATCATGTCCGGCTCAATGTGGCCGTGGGACTGGGGCTCTGCAGACAAAGAGGCCTGAAGTGCTTTGGCAAAGTCTGCATCTCCTGTGGTGTCCGGAAAACTCGATCCAAATTGATAAGGGTGGTCATGGTTCTCCCCCAATGGAGACGAAATTCTGGTTGGTTCAACGTGGTCATGGGGCTGCGCTAATAAAAATTCGTGAAGTTGGCGGGCGATTTCTGCATCAGAACGGGTATCCACAAGGCCTGATTCAGGTTGATGAGCGTGGATATGATTCTCCCCCGACATGGCAGCGACAAGATCGTGAGGATAGTCCTCATTGTGAGTGGCGCCAACCCCATGTTGTGCCGCTGAGTGATCAGAATTCCCATACTCTTCCAGCTGCAGTTTGAGTGCCAAAGATTCATCATTGAGTCTCTCTGACTGATGCGGTGAGTGAGGAGCATGATCACTCCAATGCGAATTTCTGTGGTCAGAAAGACCATCTTCCAGTTGATTTGAGTGATGGCTTGCAGGTTGCGGAGCGTTATGCTGGGGTTCTTCTGGGATGAAATGACCATCCTCTGAGGTATCACCGTGCGAAAGTGAATTTCCCCAGACCTCATTGTGAGTGGCATCAATACCATTTTGCGCAACTGAATGATCAAGAGCCTCATACTCTTCCGCTTGCAGGATGAGGGCCAAAGATTCATCACTGAGTCCCTCTGACTGATGTGGTGACTGGTGAGCATGATCATTCCAATGCGAATTTCTGTGGTCAGAACCGCCATCGTCCGGTTGATTAGAGTGATGACTCGTAGGTTGCGGTGCGTTATGCTGGGATTCTTCTGGGATCAAACCAGCTTCCTCTGAGGTACCGACATGCGAAAGCGGATTTCCGTGGTCAGAGTCACTATCGTCCGGTTGATTAGAGTGATGGCTGTGTTCTGGGATTAAATTAGCTTCCTCTGTGGTGCCAACATGCGAAAGCTCTTCTGTGTCTGAGGCATCCTCTGCGTGTGAGTCGGCTTCTGCAGTGTCGCCAGGAGGGCTACCTAGACCAATTGGGGAGGCCGTCGCTGGCGGTCCCACAGGGGGTGGCGAGTCTTTCTTTAATCGTCCTTGAAGCCCCCGAAGAGTAGATTTCCACTGGATTTTCGGCAGGCTCTTGGTTCTCTAGATTCATCAACCAGTTGTCTGAAAAGTTTCAGTTGCCGCAGCTTTTCCTGACCAGAGCCCAACAGCATCACTCACAATGTCAACCAAGCTCTTGGGAAGTTTCCATTTCTTCGAGGAGCGAATGCTACTTGATCCGCTGGCTATTTCTTTCACTCCATCGGTCGAACCGATTATCTCACTCGCCGAAGATCGGAAAGCTGCTTGGTCGAGCTTATCAAAGGAAAATGATCATCAGCGAGAAATTCGGGGTACAACAATGGACACAGACATGAAAAATGTGTGATGTCTGACCAGGAAGAGTAGCAGACAGATGCGAGGTAGCAACATTTCTCAAGGAACGAGTATCGATACAGACGAGGAGGGTTGAGCACCGTTCCGCGTGCACATTGCCACTTCTTATATTGGGTTCGCGCCCGCCCACACAAAATAAGTCTCAAGACAGAAGATAATGTGAGTTTCAAGTAAGGAAAACTGTTGAAAGCCTCACGATTCTGTGGACTGTTGGGTTGTGTTATGCCTGCCAGCGGGGCTTCAATACTCTTTACTAGTCGGGAATATACGTTCATCCAAACGATCAGAGAATCAACTTCTACGACAGAAGAGGAAACATAGCGCCGGCATTAGCTGATCCGGATGAGCTGTAATCCAGAATTATTGTGAGCAGATTTGTTAGAAATCGCGTAGGGATCCTTCCATGGAGGGATCTTATGCTGTTGTGAGACAGAGAGTTGTGGACGTCTACACTAAGGGACACGTTTCAAGCTAACCCCACAGTCCCAAGGCCGCCTTCCCGACACAAGCAACGGAGGATGAGTTCATCATCAACGGTCCCAAGCACTCCCTCCCGTTACAAGCAACGATGGGTGAGTAATCAGCGCTCCCAACGACAATCGAGACGTCAAGTGGTCCCGAGGGCGCTTTCGCAGCGTGATATTCGGCACCACCGGGATCTAGCGGATGCTTCAAGTTCTTGGGGTTACTGAAGCTCAGGTGGGATTCGGCATTTGCTAATTACGAAGCGGGTTCACTGGGCAGTCGGATTCAGCTTACATATAAGATTACCAAAAATGATCGTTGTGATTTGAAGAATGTTTGAACGGATTCGCATGATCTTCACTGAAAAATGCTAGATTCTCATTATTTTTAGGCCTCGTTTGGCCGTGCGTTGATAATCGCACTACATAGATCGCACTCCCCTCCCCTCCTTGCCCGACCACGCCCCCGCCCCTCCAAAAGGGGCATGCAATCAAACCCGCCCCTCGGAATGCTGATTTCCCAAGGAAACAGGCTTCCGAGGGGCGGGCAGAAGAACCCGCCCCTCAGAGACGGGCGGGAGGACTTGCCTGCCAATCAAGAACCGAGATATTCTCGGTTCTTGACTGGCTCGTAGCTCAACCGAGGGGCGGGGCCTTAACAGGCGCCACTCCTTGGCACCTATGAGTTTTCTTAAGGACTGGTTCCCCTTCTGTTTTTACGGTCAGCTTGAGGCCCCCCAGTTGGTTGACTACCAGCTTTCCCATCGTCCTGAATGACCCTGTCGGCTGATTGGCCACTAGGGCAAGAACCTAGCCAAGAGCCAAGACGTGTAGCGAGAAGCACGTTTGTCCCAGACCCCGAGAGCCAAGCCATGCCGTCCAGCAGCCGGAAGCGCAAACATGAATCCATTGCTCCTGATGGTGGAGCGGCGCGCTTGCGCAGCCAGGTAGGAGATGAAGGGAACGACAGTAAGGAGAACCCGGGCGGTGCTAATGGACGACAATTGGTTTGGTGGAAGCTCAGCGCGACTGATCGAGAGGATGAAGCAGTTGATGCGGATGGCGATGATGGTCAGAGGAAACAGGAGATCAATCACCACACTCATGCTGTCCTCCAACCCGTCTCCGTCAAGCAACAAATCGGGCAAAGCCCTCAAATAACTCCCAATTGACCTTTGGTTTGGATGACTAGTGTCTTGAGGCAATTGCTTAGTTGTCTCGCCTTCAAGAAAAGTATACGTGCATTGATGGATGAGTTTGTCAACATGAGTGAGCAACTTAAGTTCATCATGTCCGATCAGGCGTTTGAGGTACTGAATCAATTCCTCGGGGGACTCATGTCGGATGGGTAATTTGGGCATGTGAAGCAGGCTCATGAAACTTTCCGCTTGCACTAAGCCCAACAACTACAACAATAATTCAAAAATTGCTTTGAGCGCTAATACAAAAGGAGCGAGTATTCATAAACAGAAGGGATGAAATGGAACACTTGGAAGAATGTTTACTAGGAAATTCAAGCAACCAATAAGCCAATTATGTCAGCAAAACATCCTAGGATGTTTTGCTGACATAATTGCAGGAGGACTTGCCCGCCAGTCAAGAACCAAGAATATCTTGGTTCTTGATTGGCGGGCAAGTCCTCCCGCCCATCTCTGAGGGGCGGGTTCTTCTGCCCGCCCCTCGGAAGCCTGTTTCCTTGGGAAATCAGCATTCCGAGGGGCGTGCAATCAAACCCGCCCCTCAGAGACGGGCGGGTGCGATCGCACACCCCTTTTGGAGGGGCAGGGGCGTGGGCGGGCAGGGAGGGGAGGGGAGTGCAATTATCAACACACCATTTGGCCATCCATGAACGTCATAAACCATCATGGCAAATATTTTGGGGGTGCACAGCTGAAGACGGGGCCTCAGATGGTGTTTGGGAGGCCACATCATATCCACTTTCTTTATTACAGAAGTGGTCATCGACAGTGCTTCCCGTCAACATCTGCGGGTCTCCCAGTTTCAATTTAGAGCCTCAAAAGCTAGATTTCCCTGCAAAAATCTAGACTTTTCAGGTCTAAACCGCAAACTGCGAGGTTCCCAGATCCAATGGGAAGTCCTCCATTAGGGGGGTTCACAGTTGAACTTTAGAGTGATTTTTAAGGTGTTTACACCACACAAATTTGCCTGTCGGTGTGTCTTGCAGCGACATCTGGACAAATCCGAGTGCATGACTGAAGGGCTATAATTACTCCCCTGAATAAATATGTCAAAGCATTAAATGAGGAATGTATGAAACTGACTCCAGACCAGTTATTTTTCTCCACCTCAATTGATCAGATGACCACATTACGGGGAATGATAATCACACTCCCCCCCCCCTTCGCACACTCACTCCATCACTCCCTTCTCTGAAGTGAGTGTAGGTCTGCACTCCAATGATCTGCAGGGTCATATCCCCTGCAGGTTGGTGTGCGCTCCCACACGCCAATATGCTTTGGCGTGTGGGCCCACACTCCCCTTCTGAGGGGAGTGTGGGCGCGTGCATAACCTAATTTATATGCATTTCTGGGCTATCCCATAGGA